GACAGATATATATATGCATAAACAAAGACAGAGCTCTGCTAATGAGCATTAAAGGTTTAGATACAAAATACTCTATAATTATGTATTTATACAACTTGCATAATCCTTTGAAAAATTATTGCTGATACTCTGTTGTAACATTGACTTAACAAAGCCAAATATTTTGATGTCTATTTTTCATTCATTGGTAAACTTCAGGGGTGTAAAAATTAAAAGTTGAATGTGTTTTATAACATGTATAACAATCAATATTTATTGAACAATGAATGAAACATTCAAACATTGTGTTAACTCGGTATTTGAGCTGTACATCTATTTGCTTGTTTCCAGAAGATACCCTTATCACACCCTCCCCCCTCCTTACCCATGGAAGATCATTGTAAATTGTGATGAAGAGGGGGTTCTCAAAAACCCAAATAAGAAAGTTTCAAGCTAACCTAGGATTTTTTGGGGGGGAAGGCGGGTTCAAACCAAAAAAAACCACCTATTGGAGGAGCATGAATATTTTTGGAACAACACATAAATTATCATAAAATATCCAACTCAGACTTTTAATTATCTAGTCAGGTTGCATTAACCTGGTTGCTTCCCAAGAGCAAGGGGAGAAATTGAATTACAGTATAGTGTGACAGGGAAGAAGCTGGCTAGTTACAACAGATTTGACCAATATCCACATTGAATGCAAACAAAAGTTACTTGTCGAAATATTTGGTACTTAATTTTTTTAATTACATATTTTTGCTGTCTTTTTCAATGAGGTCTCATGTTATACATACCAAATGTTCATTTCCTGTTAAAACACACCCACATCGTAATAATTAGCAACCAGTTTTGAGCAAAATTGGAAATCATAACCCCTTAGCTTCCTTCAACCTGGCGAAGAGCTTGATGTTTCAATGGATCGGAATTATCCAATTGCAATAAGACGACAATCACCCAATAGGCTACTCGGAAAAAGGACCAATCCCATTACGAGTAAATGTCAACATTTTTACCAATTGAAAGAAAAACAAGTTGAAGTGTTTGATAGGTAGTGTGGCAAGAACGCGATGTCGGCGAAGAAACAGAGGAGTCGCAATAACCAGAATGAGCCCGTGAATTATTCAAAGGAGAAGGGTGATCGATTGGAAGACGTCGAAAAAACTACTGTTCCTACATCCACTGGAAAGAAAAATCAGCCTCGGAACGACTTTCCTGTCGCATTAGTGACTAGTCCAAAACGAATGTCAGTTGAAGGTTTTCAAACTGCAAGTAGTCCTTGTAGAAGCTCACCTCAGAAACATCAAAAAATTGACTCGGGAACTCCACCAGGTCATCTGATAGCATATTTTCACGAGGTGACACCTCTGAAACGAAATCGCTCGAATACGTTAGATTACTTTAATCTCACACTTTAGTGTTCATCTGCCAACTATCGTGGTATTTGCTTCTCTCGCGCCAAACGAAAGCTCTTTGTGGAAAGACAGGAGAGCACAACTGCCGTCAAGTTGCAATGATTCACCCTTGCTAAAAACGGTGAAAACATCTATGTGAATGATATGACTGAAGTGTCCTCACAAAATAGTTCGGAGTACAACTTCCCATATCAAGACATCGACTACCCTGTCTTTGATTCCCTGACAGCGGTCGTGGAGAATGCTGTAGATATGGATCAAATTAGTTGTTGGGCAAAAGTCGTCTTCAAGTGGAAGGTATTGGATCGTCTAAGTTGAAGAAGGTGGCTTGTTATATCGCTGATGAAACGTGCCTTTTGAAATTAACTCTGTGGGAAGGATACATTGACATGGTATCCGTTGGAGAAGTTTACACATTCAAACATCTCAGAATACGGGAGAGCGACGGCGAAGAAAACGGACGAGTTCTCAATACTACCTTACACCCTATCCAAACTGTCATAACACAGGCGGAGAATTTAAGCGAGGAACGAACATGTGCTTTCAATGACGTTGCATTGCTAGAAGCTGGTGGCGAAAACCGTCAATATATGGAACTGAACATTGATAACATCGATTCCATTAAGGAACTTTCGCATTTTACAGAATGCCCTACGTGTCAGAAAAAAATTCAACTAGATAATTCAAGTCTTATCACAAAATGAGATCATTGGGGTTGTACTTTGAGAAGCTCCTCTTGTGAAATTGTGACTTTAGTTAAGTTTCTTGTCCGGAATAAGCAAGGAGGCAGTAACAAAACCGAAAAAATTAGTCGCTCTATGGTGTTCAAAGATGTATTGGAAAAATGATCGGTTCAATTGAAGGAGTTCATGGCGATGTCATCTTAGAAAAGTTACTTTTGTCAGAAAATTTTAAACTTTCTTACAATAATCAACAAGTCGCAAGGATGTTACGATTTAGTTCAGTCGCAACAATTTCAAAACGGTTTAAAAAATTCTGATGTTTCGGTAGTACTTTCAGAAGCTCCTCTTGCGAAATTGTTATATAGATTAAGTTTCTTGTCTAGATTAAGAAAGGAAGCAGTCACAAAACTGAAATATTTAGCTGCTATATGGTGATCAAAGATGTATTGGGAAAAACAATGGCTCGGTTGAAAGAGTTCATCACAATGTTATCTTGGGAAAGTTACTTGTGTTAGGAAATTTCCGTTTCTGAACATATCTAACATGTTGACTTAGTTTCTTACGATTAGAGTTTGGGATAAGATACTTTGTAGTCACCTTCAACCCGAAGATGCTATTGTTCATTCAACGTTGATTTTAGGTTCTTGATGAAAGTGTTGATCAGTTGGGTTAACTACATATAAAGTCTGATCATGAATTTAATAAACTATAACTGGATGCTGTGTTTATCGGAACTTTCTGTTTATTATTAATTATGGTAACTTGATCAATCATCAATTTTCTGCAGAAATTGTTAAATGTCTAACAAACGAGGACAAAAAACTTCATATTCAATTTCACGAAATTTTCTCCAATATTCCACCCAAATTATCGATTGTCAGTTTCAATGCCACAAACCGAAAAAGAAAAACGACTTGTAATGCGTTTACCAAATTCCACACGATTTTCCTACGCAATCACAGTTAATCGAGGAGACTCGAAAATCGGTTGGCACTAAGGAACACGGATTCTACAGCCACTCGGAAAAGGAAGAACCGATATACGGTTCGCCAAAAATCTGTGGATGGGTAACGCCCTATGCACAGTTGAAACACCTCATTCTCCTCGTTTCTTCCAAAAAAATGACTGTCTTAGAAGAAAAATCAACCCCGGGGGTAGAACTCCTATATGAAACAAACGGGGATACCCGTCCTCTCGCTTAAGGGTGTAGATTTTAGATTTTGTTCTCGCTTAGGTATTTCAGGAAAAAGCGCCAGCATTTTCAGCGTTCAAGTTTTCGTTTAGGGTTGCACGCGAAGGAAAATGGATTTTTCTCTTAGGGGTAAAAAGAATGCGTGACCTACATTGATATAGTTCAGGAATAAATTTCAAAATTTCGACGAGCATCCCGTTAGTCCCCCTCCCGGAAAGGTAACACTTGTACAACACAAGAATCAAACATAGCAAACAAGAGTAAAACGAGCGAATGCGCAACATTCAACAGCTTCTTATCATGGGCGTCCTGCGAATAGGATTACGCAAAGTAACTCAAATACTCTAAAAACAAATCCTTTTAAGACACTTTTTAGCCGTCCGTTCCAGCACCTCTACCTGTATGTGTCCCTTGCTAACAAAACATACACTTCCACAGCTGGAAGCCTATTTACTGCATTCACGAGTTTGCTCACAAGAGCCTTTGATTAGAAACATTTAGTGTTTCTGAACTGTTGAATACAGTTTACGGTGAGTCAATGGAAAAATGATAATCATTGGTAAAACACAAGGAAAGGTTAATGATGGCCAAAACACCAAAAGAGGTGCTGAAAAAAAAACAACAAAGTGACACTTTGGTGAACTCATGGATATACTGTGCAGTAAACAATTGATTACTGCATTTTATCAAACTAAGTGTAAGGTTGCAAAATAAACTTGATAATTTATTCCAACAGTCCATTTTAATTCTCAGTTTTTATTTATTTACACTTATTTTAGTAAAATAATAAATTCTAATTAATTAACAAAACTGAAAAATTAGAGAAAAATAGGAAATGCAAAATTACATCAAATAAAAGAAAAGTGTGTAGTGACCAGAGGAACAAAAGCTTTCAAATTGGCCAAAGAATACATAGGCCTCTTAAAAATTAGTAAGTTTTTAGGAGCCACTGACCATTAGGAACAAAAGTCTGCCAACAGTCACAGAATCTCATCACTAATTTTATTTTTCCTAATGGACCCTTTTTATGAACCATTTTCAAACATCATAATAAAAACTTCTATTCTATAGCATTTGCTTTTCCTGAAAGTTCTAAAAAATGAAAATACACCAATACTGACCTTCCCACACTACCCCCAGAGGTAAAGAAAAAACACATAGAAAACTGCCACTTGAGCAACATCATATGCAACAAAGCAATGCATTCCTGGTTTGTGATTTTTTTTGCTTACAGATGGTCCTACTATCTTTTCAAAAATATCAGTTATCTTACTGCTCTGAATTCTGTGAGATTGATTCATTGATATCTTAGGGATTGTTTTCACTCTTCTGTTTGACTTTTGCTGTGGTATCTTGTGCAATGTTTGTTCTCCTTTTCTTCTATTTTTACCAAACAACTCGCAAAACAAGTAAGTGTTTAGTTTTGGAGTTTTCTGATTGCGACTTAAAGGAAACTTTGTAAAAATACTTGTATTTATAGACATTTAGTTATTTTCATGCTTTCAATTTTTTCATCCTGATTCATTTTAGTTCCCTTAATCGGTCTGAGGGCTGAAATGCAGCTTTCAGTGTCACTAGCTTTTGATTCACAATTATTTAGAGAAGCATTCAAAAACAAAATGAAAAATTTCTGCCCAGACTACAATAAAATGAAAAATGTCTGCTCAAGCTAATACCAGTGTCCATTTAGAAACAATGTGCAGTAAAGATTGTGTAGGATCAGTTGTTACTCTATTTCTTCTCTTCCTCATTGTTGTCCTCCTTGTGTTCCTCTTTCCTGTAACAAATTAAACATAATACAATTTCAATTTGAAAGCATTATATGGATCAGAATTTCTAAAAGATTCAAAGTAGCAAGACATACAGCTCAAATAGCTATCAACCTCAATATCATTGATTATCATTTTCCAAACTTTCAAATTATTGCGTATGGAACTATGCTTGATGCCAAAGTCACTTTAAGATCATCATTTGATTTTTGTTGTTACATTTTAAAAAACAAAGCTGACTTGTTTGAAGGTAGCTTATATCTCTCAAGTTGTCTTCGTTGGTTTGGTCTGTCTGTCATCCTATCGAGCCTGCGTTTGGAGAATGATTTCTGAAAAATTTCACACATACAAGCAATTTTGATTCAAGGCCAATTTTAAGTCATCAAAATCTTCCACAGTGCTGTCGGGGGGTTGGGGTGGGGGTCTAAAGAATAGCATCTTACAGGGGGTCAGGTAAACTTTACTGGGACACAACCAAAATCCTCAACGGCCCCCCTCCCTTGCAATCCCTGCACACCCCTGCTCTAACAATTAACCAATTCCTACGATAGCTAATGTTAGGTAACGTAAGGTAGCTCATGGAAATTGCTTATCAGAACCAGACTTACCCAATGTACGTGAAATCAAATGTCACGTTGTCTCCCATCAGCACAAATGGAGCCCACTGTTTGGGTTTGGGAAAGCCGTTGCTTCTCAACCATTTTACGGCCTGGTGAAGAGATTCACTGGCACTTTCTCCACGTACAAGGTGCTTGTAGAAATGATTCATGAGCTGCTCCGTTGGTTCGTCTGCTATGGCCCACGATGCTACCAACACCGAACGTGCACCGGATGCTAAGAATGCTCGAGCGATTCCAAGAACTCCTTCGGCTTTAACCAATCCACGCGCACTGTGACAACAGCTTAGTACCACCAGTTTTGCTCGCACTTGAGCTCCGAAAATGTCGGACATTGTCAAGAGGTAGTCTTCTTCTTGTGGAAAACTGTTGGTGGTAAATTTAGGACATTTAGGTGAAAGGGCAATCTCTCCTCTTTCGGCATTTCCATGTGCGGCAACATGTATGAGACTCACTGAAGGTATCGCTTGAAGTACTGCCTGCTTAGTTGCAGACTCTCCTAACAAAGGCTGAACTCCCAGCAGTCGACCAACCATCGCTGCTTCCTTTCTAGCACAGGACAATGGTACAAAGTTAGCGACACGTCCATCGTAGTAGGCCTGGCCAACCGTTGGATCACCCACTATAAGTGCACCAGTTTCACTGTGATAATCTGCTGGACAATCTTGAATGAGCCGGAGGGTCGTCAGTGAAGGGACGATACGGATTCTGTAAGTCTCCGATAGATACTTTCCGGCTGATTCATCACGCAAGGCAGCAAATGGGACTCGATACGAGAAACGATCCGGCACAATGATAATTTCAGGCTCTGTAAGTAAATCTGCCACGGGAGCGATGATCCATTTGTAACACAAATGATGAATTCTTTCGGTTTCTTTGCTTTCGTCATCGCGCAAAGTTGCTCGGCTTTCTTCAAAAAGAGATGTCGTTACGTTACCATCCAAAGATCGATCTTCGCAATTCGCTGTGGGTAAAACGCCAAAGCTGGCGGCACTCTTTTTGAAAATTCCTTCCACGTTGTAAACTTTCTCAGGAATAAGAGTGCCGTCTTGCACTTTGTCGTTTACCCGAAAGGTAATGTCTCCATTTGCTTTCAAAACCCAGAGACAAACTTGCCGCTCACGATACGAAATGTACAAAAAGACACAGTTACTCTCCTTTTTCACGATGTTTTCAATCCCGAACCATGATTGTGGATCAGCTGAAATGTGGCTTTCAACGGAAAACTTCTCTGTCATAGATTCTACCAGGACTCTCGCTCGTCCCAGCTCCTCGACATAAAGAGCGTCTTGAAATTTGTCAGCGTTGCAAAGCAAGTTAGTGAGGAGCTGGTAGGGAAAAGAACCGTGCGCCTCGAACAGAGATATTTCAAACTCTTTGTTTCCTTTAAGAAAATTCCTCAATTGTTCATATTTTCCAATACATCGAAGGAGATGTTCCTTTGCTTCCACAACCATTGATTGCGATACCTTTAAAAGTGTGATGCAGAGAAGGCTTTTAAACTCAGTCTCTATGTCTCCAATTCTACTGCTCATGAAACGAGCCTTCTCTAAGTAATCTTCTGCCTCATCACATTCACTAAGCGATCTGCATAGATCTCCGAGCACGAGGTAAATTGTTCCTTCAAGACCTTTATTGCCACATTCCTTGCTAATGGTGAGCGCCTTCTGAAGATGTTCTTTTGCTTTCTGATTGTCATTGATAAAAGCGAACACATTTGCCAAACCTGTGAGAGCACCTGCTTCTACTCCTCTTATTCCAATTGCTGTACCAATGCTCAGTGCTTTATCGAACTCTTCTTTAGCTTGACGATTTTTCCTAAGCAGGCTATAAACCTTTCCGAGGGCTAAGTATCCTGAACATTCGTTTCCTTTGACTCCCATTCCTTTTGCGATTGCAATTGTTTTCTCGTAATATTCTTTCGCCTTCTGATATTCGCCAAGGAATAGAAACACATTTCCGAGGTTCCCGTATGCTGTTCCTTCTCCATTTCTGTCGCCGATTTCTATCGCGATGGCAAGTGCTTTCTCGCAATATTCTTTGGCATTCTGATATTCGCCAAGAGATTGAAACACAGTTCCGAGGTTCCCGTATGTTCTTCCTTCTCCATTCCTGTGGCCGATTTCTATCGCGATGGCAAGTGCTTTCTCGTAATATTCTTTGGCCTTCTGATATTCGCCAAGGGATTGAAACACAGTTCCGAGGTTCCCGTAAGTTCTTCCTTCTCCAATTCTGTCGCCGATTTCTATCGCGATGGCAAGTGCTTTCTCGTTATATTCTTTGGCATTCTGATATTCGCCGAGGGATTGACACACATTTCCGAGGTTCCCGTATCTTTTTCCTTCTTCATTTCTGTTGCCGATTTCTATCGCGATGGCAAGTGCTTTCTCGTTATATTCCTTGGCCTTCTGATATTCGCCAAGGGATTGAAACACAGTTCCGAGGTTCCCGTATATTGTTCCTTCTCCATTTCTGTCGCCGATTTCTATCGCGATGGCAATTGCTCTCTCGTGATATTCTTTGGCCTTCTGATATTCGCCAAGGGATTCAAACACAGTTCCGAGGTTCCCGTATGCTGCTCCTTCTCCATTTCTGTCGCCGATTTCTATCGCGATGGCAATTGCTTTCTCGTGATATTCTTTGGCATTCTGATATTCGCCAAGGGATTCAAACACAGTTCCGAGGTCCCCGTATGTTGTTCCTTCTCCATTCCTATGGCCGATTTCTATCGCGATGGAAAGTGCTTTCTCGTAATATTCTTTGGTCTTCTGATATTCGCCAACGGATTGAAACACGTTTCCGAGGTTCTTGTCTGTTGTTCCTTCTCCATTTCTGTCGCCGATTTCTATCGCGATGGCAAGTGCTTTCTCGTTATATTCCTTGGCCTTCTGATATTCGCCAAGGGATTCAAACACAGTTCCGAGGTTCCCGTATTCTGCTCCTTCTCCATTTCTGTCGCCGATTTCTATCGCGATGGCAATTGCTTTCTCGTAAAATTTTTTGGCCTTCTGATATTCGCCAAGGGATTGAAACACAGTTCCGAGGTTCCCGTATGTTCTTCCTTCTCCATTCCTGTTGCCGATTTCTATCGCGATGGCAAGTGCTTTCTGGTAATATTCTTTGGCCTTCTGATATTCGCCAAGGGATTGACACACAGTTCCGAGGTTCCCGTATCTTCTTCCTTCTTCATTTCTGTTGCCGATTTCTATCGCGATGGCAAGTGCTTTCTCGTTATATTCCTTGGCCTTCTGATATTCGCCAAGGGATTGAAACACAATTCCGAGGTTCCCGTATATTGTTCCTTCTCCATTTCTGTCGCCGATTTCTATCGCGATGGCAATTGCTCTCTCGTGATATTCTTTGGCCTTCTGATATTCGCCAAGGGATTCAAACACAGTTCCGAGGTTCTCGTATGCTGCTCCTTCTCCATTTCTGTCGCCGATTTCTATCGCGATGGCAAGTGCTTTCTCGTTATATTCTTTGGCATTCTGATATTCGCCAAGGGATTCAAACACAGTTCCGAGGTTCCCGTAAGTTCTTCCTTCTCCAATTCTGTCGCCGATTTCTATCGCGATGGCAAGTGCTTTCTCGTAATATTCTTTCGCCTTCTGATATTCGCTGAGGATCCAACAAAGAGATCCAAGTCTTGCGTAAGCCACTGCCTCTTCTCTTCGGCGGCCAATAACTTTCAAGATGGTAAGAGCGCTTTTACAAAGTTGCTTTGCCTCTGCATACCAACATTTTGCCATGTATTTGTCTCCCAGTTGAATGGTTAGTTCTCCGGCGACAAAAAACTTGTCAATAAGTTTTGTGGTGTATCGTGTTGCATTTGTGTAACCAGAGGTGGCGTAGTACACATTGAATAATACATCAGAGATATCATGATCAAGGTCAATACCAGAGTCAAGTTTGTGAAGTAGAAATAAACATTCATTACATAACTCGGTCGCTTGTAGGCCACGATCAGTGTTGAGAAGGAATATGGCGACATCTAAACCAATCTGAACTGAGTTTAGGATTTCTGCTGCGTTAGTCATTACGTCATGTCCTGAATGTTGAAAAGAATTTCTCCAAATGTGAGAAAAGAATCAACAAAAACTAAGACTTTCCGTAGATATCTGAGTGTTTCATTCCTTCTCTTAATTTATTTTATTCAAAACAAGCCCCATCAAATTCTTTAATCAATTGATCATCGGTTAATCCATTAATCGTGTTATGCTTGCGTTCAACTTTCTGATCATTTATTTTTTTACATGCCACTCTATTAGACCTAAATCTGGTCGCAAGCTTCTGTTTCATGGAAAGTGACTTCCAGTTAAATTCAACTCAAAGCATCATTGAATTGGTGTTTGTTTAACAAATCAAACGACGTTAAATATGATGAATATTCATCATCGTCATTGTGTGTGGAAGTTCTACTGAATAGACAACATAGGACAGAATAGAACGGAACCATTTTAGTGGGTGTATTCTACACAACGCGTCTCGAGCGTCTCACGCGTGTTTTGACTTCATTCACGTCTCTGCAACTCGCTGTACCTGCCTGGCAGCTGGGACAGTAAAGAGCTTTCCTGAATAACGCTTTTTGCTCAGGAAGAAGATTTCCTCAGACTTCTAATTTCAACCGCCATGGCATTTATGTCATTCGTACGTTTTAGTTTTGACTTTTCCTGAAGAATCCTATATCTGAGATTTCTATCAGGAGAGAAGATGAAAGTACAAGCTGTCCCTTCTTTCATAGTGGACGGGAAGTGGCTGAATAATTTTTGTGGGACTATGAAGAAGCTAGGTTCTTCTTTCTCATACCTTGTGCTCACCCACTTTTTCGCCCTCATGCACCCCACTATCACTCGCTTCAGCCGAGTGAGTTGCTTAAAAATTTAAAGATCTTTACCGGATTAGATTTTCTACTTAGAACTGAAAATTACTTGAAAGAATACAGTACATGTAAACCTTCAACACCTGAAAAATTAAAATTCTACTGTACTTAAATCTGATTCTGAATCGATGCAAATCAAAACATCTTTCATTGATCCAGGGATATTCATCTACACCAGGCAGATCTTGTGTCGTCTGGTAGCAGAAATATTTGATGGACGTAAATCCAATGAAAAAAGGTACATTCCACTGTAAAACGAAGTGTGAAACCACTCAACTGTCTCCAGAATGTTCAGAAAAATATATATGTGTTGGTATTTCTAACTGCGTGTCCTATACAGATAAAGCCGGCGTGTCAGTATCAGAAACTCGCTTTTGAGATGCGTGAAACCATACATATAACTACCTTCGATCTCTAGGAGTTGTTAGAGATGAGATTTTTCGCTTTCTCTAGTATATTTAGAGACTTAAACGGTTAAATTGCTTTGTTAAGTACCTTATGTAAACACTATCAGTCTCACTTGCAGATCGTTCGGTAGTTTTCCCGGTTAGTTATCATGGTACAGCACTTTACAACTTAATTGACCAATAAATCAATCAAGAACCGTCAAATAGTCTTTAAAAAAACCTGGTAACTTACTTTCTTGATACTGAATTCCACCTCTAACAAATGTCTAGTTTTCATTTCAACTGATAGGCTATTGCGTGACGCATAGATTGTTCATGCATCCCGTTTCAGACTAAATTTAATGAACACGAATTTAATCTAAGATATTTCATTCGATTGAAGATAAAATGATACAAAAAAACGTTTGACGCATTCGTTCTTATGTTTTAACCGGAAGCCCCGTCCTCATGAAATGCGTCGAAAGCGAGTCCGTGTTCTAACCCTTGGTTTGTGATGCAGTAGACCAAATGAATTACTCGCGTCACTCATAGCTTATCAAGCTTTTCAACCTGCTTTTAAAATCTTTATATAGGCCTATCGTTGGCAGGTAATTAAAACGTTTAAAAGGCGATTGGAAATCATCAGAGGGAAATTTTCCCCTTGTGAAGAATACCACTCGTATTTTAATACCTAAGTTACTCGTCTACAAACTTTTCCGAAGGTTTTTTTTTGGGGTTAATTAAAGAGTACTGTAAGTTTTATTAAAGGAAAATGAAACTAAGGAAGCAATAACAATACAGAGCTAAAAAAGGCGAACAGCTCACCTCTGAAAACAGAGCATGTGTTCTTTCAATATCCCGATGGTGTGACTAATGAAAACAAAGGTAAGAGAGTGAAATGACTTTCACTGCCAAAAAAGCGTTACTGCAAATAGCTGGTAAAAGAACCTTTTACCCACACGGTTGGTGAGAAGAAATTAAAGACCTAAGGAAGAACTGAAATTGTTTTCTAAATTGCCTATAACATACGTTAAATAACATACGTGATCTTCGTGTTTTGCATCATTGCAGAAATGATGGAAATGTAGTTTCTCCTTATAATATGGAGATACCTTACAGCAATCAAGTGGTGAGAGTAAACAGACTGATCAACTAGAAGGTGTTATGTTTATCATTAAGATAAAGCCAATCTGAAACCAATATATTTTAGCGCTAAATATTTCTGAAATAAACTTTAAGCCGCTCATCTTTGGAAAAGAAAGGATATCTGGATAGTTAGGAAACCGAAGCAAGATTTGAAATTGTCTGTACAAAGAGAATACGAGTACAAAGAATTACTGTTAAATCGAATACTAAAATGATTGGTTAAAATAATTATTATAAAAATCTAAAGGATGGATGTCAGATTACAGCTTGCTCGTAAGATCGTCAATAATTATTGGAGCTCCTCACATATCGTTGATAAGAGCTTGGTGGTTTTGCGCGCTTTGACCAATTTTTTTAAAGTCTTTCAAGTCACAGAAGTGAGGAATATTTCGCTTTTCTTCACAATATCAACATTTCATCCGGTGAATAGGTGGCGAGAATAAGATACAATACCAGATTCTCCCTAATGACTAGCAAGGTTATGTAAAGGAGCTTAAAGGGAGAATTGCTAATAAGATAAACTTTTGTTAGATTGTTTGAAACAATAAAAAGTCATACATCATTGAATTTCCCCAAATTTTCACTCAAAATATTTCAATATTTTTATCGCGGGAAAAGAATGACTGTTATCAAATTTAGTTTTTCAGCTGTAAAGCTCTGAAAAATTAAACATGGTCTGTTCAGCGTGCTTATTGTTTACGTGATGAGACTGATTGCAAGAAACAGATAAATGCAAGTAGGTCGGTTAAGAACAAAGTGCTGAGTTTGATCAGTTAATAAAATCACTGGAAAAGTAAGTCGTGTAAACATGACTCTAGTTTTGTCATGAAACTGTGGCTTTTTGCTTTTTTCCATTAGAACTTGCTGTTCTTGAATTTGATTTTGTTGTGCCTGATTTGAGGCGGCGAAAATAGTTTTTGAAAACGGGAAAGGAGAGTAAATTTAATTTTTCATGTGGCTTCTTACCTCCGCTCAAGGAAGAGTGTCTTGTTTAGTATTCTGACTGTATGACTGAGAAACAAGAAAAACCAGAAACTGAAATCACCAGAAAGCAGAGACTGAAATAACCCTTTTCTCCAAAAAAAGGAATGATAACAGCAGCTGATGTGAAATCAAAATATAATCTAAATCGGAAAAACTTTATACAGCTTTCCCATACAAATACAGAGAAAATATTCCATCTTTAATCGCATTCTGTCACTCTCAGACTGACTTTGAAAAAAAATTATTTCACTAATAACAAAAGTTGAGGAGAATAACGCAAAAGGTGGACGGTGTTTTCTTGATGTAACACTATTTTCTCTTAAATCATTCACAATAACATCATAGCACTTTAAAAGGAGAGTTAAAAATTAGATCATGGAAGACAAAGGCTTTATGTTGGATAAACCGTTCACTTTGTGGACTATTATAAGTTTAAAACAGTTTTTAAGCATCAAATCTTGACCAAAATCTAAGATTATTTCTAGGTTATCAAAGATTCTCTGCCTTCGAATACACATTGCAAAACATTTCAGTTTGTGAAGCGGGAAAAAATTGTTTCTAAATTCATACCTTTTTACTGCTCACCTTCTAAAAAAGTGTCGTGACAAGTATTTTGATTGCGTGACTAATAAAACCAACGACAAGAAACTGAAATAAAAAACGTTCTCTGCAAAACAAAGATAAATGCAAATAGCTGTCGCAAGGAAGAAGTGAAACATTTATAGATAAAAAGAATAAATAAATTTTAAAACAAAGGGGAACAACGGATAACAAGAGTAAAGGTTAAGTTCAGTTTGCAACAAGAAAAGAATGGCGGTTAAAGAAACCTAACATCGATCGCTTTCCATCTCTGCCATGAATTAAACGTTCAAACAGATCTCCCCACCTTGAATTAATATGAAATTTAATTCTGTGTACGATTTGCATATACATGTACGCTGCGCTACCATTGACACTGAAAAGCTTTGAGCTACTCACGGCAGCGAGGGCAAAAACAGTAGACGTAACCAAACCGACATCTCACAAAAAGAAGAATGGCTTTATAAATACTGAATATTTTCATAAAGATATTTAAATCTCAAATGGCCAAATTTTACTCATTTCTTACATTGGGATCACCAACAACCTTACGGTTTCCGTCTTCTTGAACTGATTTGTATGTTGTTTTGCCAAAGATAATTGTAACTAACAAAGAACGTAAAATAAAAACGTAACGAAATTTCACATTTGTAAACCTCAAGGGAACTTTTTCAGGTCCAGAGTCAAATCATGTCTGTTGGATTAAATTTACACAGGCGTTTTGATCGTTTCTGCAGTCGTTCGACATTAATTAATGAAACGACGAATTTGACTCAAATGCCCTCTAATTCTTATCATGCAAAAGATTTTTAATCCTTATGATACAAAATGATCTAAATAATAGCAATTCATAATGTTTCTTATATCAATCATTTCATTATCAAATGGTCTTTGTCAGAATAGCTCCAATTACGTAGGCATCGAAGTACATTTTGTAAAATTGATAATATAGCCCATGCGAATGATGAAACATCGTACTCACCACGAATTTAACTTTGAATGCTTTGTTGCTCTGTAAAGTGAAGCAGCCAACTTTAGAATTAGAATCAGTAGCATATGTCTA